AAGTACAGCACTTTGACAGATATTAACTTCCTACTCCACATAGATTCCCCTTTCCTCCCTGATCAGGATAGTCTATGCCCAGCCCAAGATGACAGTTTGCTTTTGGCTCCTTGTGGGTAAGAAAGCCAAGTGACACAATTTTGGTCAATGAGATTTAATGAGAAGTCTGCTAATGGTTATAGAAACCTTTTATTTTCTTAATAAAGGGGAACAGAAACAGCAGATCAGTCTTTATCCTTCCCCACTTTCTCTCTCCTGGAATCAGAATGTAAAGCTTGGAAATACAGTGGATATCTTGTGAACATGAGCAACATGCAAGCCTGCTAAGGACAGGGAGTCAAACAACAAGGTGAGCACAGGTCTTGCTCAGATCACTGAGCTTCCACATCCATACCAACAACTCTCTACCTCTGGAATTATTGATAGGTAAAATAAATGAACTTCAATTTTTAAAATCACTGTAATAGAGTTTTCTATTCTATATAGCCAAACACAATTCTGACACAGCAGTCAATACCTCATAAAGTCTATTTTGGGCAAGTTCAAATGTATTATACTACTTTATATGCATATGACCTGGGAGAATAAAAAAAAAATTCTTAAAGGAAATAAAACAATCTGGAATTATGGGTAGTGAATTATCTAGAAAAATAAAACTGGCAGAGAGAATATTGTAACATGTAGCCCAAGAAACCAAATGGCTCTTTAGAGCCAAAGTATTATGTAAATAAATCTAAGAGAAATAAAATAACAAACAAAACCAGGTATTGAAACTAAGACTTCACATTCTCAGTCAAAGTATCAACTCTTTCAAGCAAAAGTGTGGTAAATGGCCTTTAATTATTAACTTCTCTTTTCAGACATGCGTAAATATGGGTAGAAATGGTGATCCATACTGTTATATTTGAATAAGCACTAAGGCATACTTCAATATATCCAGTCTATCAAAGTTTTTAAACTCCAGGCAAACATGAGGAGCTGGAGATACAGGGGTGGTTATTATACAATTGTATTATTCCATTTCTGTTGCTTATAACAAAATATGTGAAACTGGGTGATTTATAAAGAAAAATGAAATTTACTGCTTATAGTTTCTGAGGCTGGGAAGTCCAAAGACCATCTGATGGTGGCAAAAGTGACCCAGGGGTCTCACATTGCAAGATTGTGGAAGCAGAGAGAGCAAGAGAGAGAGAGACAGACTCTCCTCTTTTTTTAAAGCCCTTAGAACCATGCCCCTGACTGCCATTTTTAATCTATTCACTACTGCCTGGTCCTGCAATCTAATCACCTCTTCAAGGCCCCACCTTTCAATTACGATAATAGGATTTCCTACCCTCTCAACAGTCACAGTGGGGCTAAGTTCCTAATACATAAAACTTGAGGGGCACAATTCAAGCTTGAATGAGTTTTGTGGGGACGTAATTCAATCCACTACAACCATAATACTGTTCTTGTGACTATGGCAGAAACACACACATACAGACCCCAGCAGAACTTTTAAAAACTGTCCTGGTATAAACACAAAGTGCTGCCCTTACTGACCACTCAGACCAAAGGTGGCCATAGGCATACTAGAATGCAAGGCTCTATTTTCAGTAGTTCTTTTTTTCTTCTATTATACTGGCTCTATGCATGCTTCTCACTGCCATGGCTACTAGTGTAACACACTCTAACTTCCACTGCTTTTTTCCATTTCTCCCTTGC